GTCTTCCTGTCTTTTTTTCTGTGTGCTTGTGTGTGGGTGTATATATGGGTGTTTGTGTGTGGGTGTGTGTGCATGTATGTGTGTGTGTTTGTGTGTTTGTGTGTGTGTGTGTGTGTGTGTGTGTGTGTGTGTGTGTGTGTGTGTGTGCTACCTCGGTCGAAAGAACTGTGAGGTGTGGGCTTGATCTATATCACCGCGATTCGAAGCCCTATGTAGCTGCTTATTTGTTTGTTTGAGTAAAGAGACGCAGTTCAACATAGTAATAATATTTATTTGCTACTGGCTAAATGTAAGACAGGCAGAAACAACAGGGAGAAAGTAGGAATATAGAACAAGTTTCACCCTTCAAACACCAGCCCTGTATTCTTTTTTTTCTGATGTCATATTATGTTGTACCGAGCAATGCTTGCCAACCCCGGCGATTCTGGTGGGCGATGGGGAGCCCCTAGGGAGTGATATGTGTAATTAACTTTCCGTGTGTGGTGCGATCATTTTAGGATCTTGAAGTCGCAAAGGGGTACCAGGCTATAAAAAGATTGATAAGTACTGTAAATAAAGTTTCCGTCCCTCCTCCCTGTCCCTCCACTCTCTCTATCTTTCCACTGTACAAATTCACGCAGGCGGTGTCTGTAAGGTAGTAGATCTAGTACTCTACAGCTTGGTCGCTTTCCTCTCTTTGCGTTAAAGATAATTTTAGCTCACTTATCGATTTGCTTGAACGTATGAAACTTTGCATGACATTCTTGTAGGCCAACGACCAGAGGAAAAGAAACATTTTTTAATGATATTTATCCAATTATGAGACACAAACGTTTCTCTATTTGGGCCCTACATGATGCACCGCCCTTGTAAGCCTGTACTGGATCACCACAATACAACATGATTTGCAGTAGCCTGGACTACAAACTGTACTGTTCTTTTCAGACAGTGACACAATCCTGCCTCCACATTTCATCAGTGTAAACTTGTAGACTTGCTCCCAACACCATCTAGACGTCTCCACAAAAGCGTCAAAAAGTACTTACCCATCTTTTGGACTGTTTCAAAGGCGTGCGTTATTAGCCTTTACTGATTTTTATTTTGAACATGGATGCATATCCTCCATTATATCGCTAGTGACTTGAGGGCCCCACTGGTAGATCCTACTTCTTTACCTTCCCTCTATTG